CTTTGTAGGTGTATCCATAGCTGCAGCTACTGTTGGCGTGCGGCTCCGTTATGAGCTCATTTAAGCCAAAACATTTTTTAACTAGATGCAAAATGCAAATGCCCAAACTCAGGCTCAGGCTCAGACTCAGTCTCAATCTGCGTCGTAGGCTGAGAAAGGGGGCAGCAGGGGTGTTCGCTGCGGAAGGTGTTTCGCAGAATTCTCTCATTCTCGCCTGACGATCTCTCTCGTGCTGCGCCTAATTGAGGCGCGTCTCGAAGATGGCGTTTAACTTTATTTTAATATGGTGGCCACAGAGAAAAAAATACTTGACGTGATTATATGCCATCAACGTGTTGTAGTTGTAGCTCTTGTTGTTGTTGCCACTCGTCGCAACATGCACACAAATTTGCATAATTGTTAACATGCTGTTGTTGTAATTGTCGTGCTGCCGCTTGTTGTTGTTGCTGCTGGATTTTAATCAGGGCCTGTTCTGGCCGCCAGAACATGCAGTTGCAGCTAGTACCCCGCTGTCGCCACACTCCAGTATTTGCTCTGCCTGGCACCTGGAGCTATTTTAATAATATTTCGCTAATACCAGTTCTGCTTTTTTAGTGGGCTGAATTGGGTGGGTTTGTTGTTTTAATGTGACCACTCAAATTGTAATACGCCAGAACCCGGCGCATTGGCATTTAATGAAGACATTTGCCATCGAAAATTAAGTTGTACACGAGAGTGAAACAGCGCCAAGCGATAAGAAACATTAGAGAAACTGATTTTAATTGGCCACCAGGTTGGTTAGTCGCAAAAGGTTATTGACTCTGCGCGTTTGAACAATGATATAGGTGCATACACACATAAATATATAAAACACTCTTTGATCGACCTAAGTGTAGGCCATTTAAGCTCATAATATAATTATAGTCTTGATTCTGCCTATTGAGTGCTGTAAATGCTGCGATATCTTTTATAATGTTGAACTCAAGGCAATCAAAGAAATGCTGCTAAAGCAAGTTTTGCTTATGAAATCTCCAGCTATTTTATAATCCCAATTATCTGTTTATACTTATGAGTGTGCTAAGGGCGACTCTTAAAAGCATTGCTTAAAATAACTGCTTAAGAATATACCTAAAATAGTTGCGTAGCAACTGAAAATCCATCAATATGAGATATTTTCAAAAAATTGTAATTTACTTTCGTTAAATTATTTCAGTTTTTAGCTCCCTTTTAAAAACCTATTTTATAAATGCATAATATTGAATAAAATATTGAATATTTAACTATAAGACAAAAATTCTGTTTACAATAATTGCTCAAAAATTAAATTTAATTTTTGTTTAACCCATCAAAGATGGGTAAAAAGGGTATATTGGTTTGAGCTTCGATTTAGTCATGTCCGTCCGTCTGCCCGTTGAGCTATAGACAGACATCTCGTATAGCATACTCAGATCAATATCCCGATATCTCGTCTTATTTTTATGACAGTTAACAACTCGAGTATTATAATAGCTAGATACACAAAACTTTGGTGCTCGTATAGTATGAAAAGATTGTACATTTTGGATACTCCCCCCATACCACTAAAAACTGAAAGAACTCATTTTTAAAGTTAGTCACACTTTTGGGTGTTATATTTAAGCCCTGAAACTTTCATAAAGATCCGACTATGAAAGCCGAAGTCAGTCGGCGTGGGTATATATATGTATGTAAATATATATACAGATTTATAGGCTAAATTGATAACATCGGCAAGTCAGCGCTGGGTTTAGGGAATCTTCTAGTCTTGCACACCCGACCAAAGCAATCCTACTTGTTTTCTTTATAACTTAATTAATGTTTGCTTCATTCGTACTTTTAAAGTTAGTCACACTTTTGGGTGTTCTATTTAAGCCCTGAAACTTTCATAAAGATCCGACTATGAAAGCCGAAGTCAGTCGGCGTGGGTATATATATGTATGTAAATATATATACAGATTTATAGGCTAAATTGATTACATCGGCAAGTCGGCGCTGGGTTTAGGGAATCTTCTAGTCGGGCACACCCGACCAAAGCACTCCAACTTGTTTTCTTTATAACTTAATTAATGTTTGCTTCATATTTAACATAACACTGGTCATACCCATTCACATAGGCGCACTCGATTTCCAGAGTAAACATGGGTTATACTTGCTGCAGAGGGTTGGCAGCTAATTACCAGTGGCAACGCGGCTATTCATGAATACACTCGTACGAGTACTCACGCATACACATGCTCATAGCTGAGTGAGCTTCACATTGCCCTCAACAGCAGATGATAGAATGTAATTAAACCTCATCGATGCATAAAAACAGATACATAAAATAGATGCTTGCATGTACATACTAGTATATATAATTCACATTCATGCCCAAGATCGTATGCAAATGTATCTGAGTGTTTGTCGATGCTAAAAATGGCAGACGGCGTGTGCATTTAGTTGGCTTCATTCATGTTCTTCAATTACCAGATACGAGTAATACGCATCTTGGCAATTCGCTTTACTTTTCTGCGCTATAATTATTTTTTGCACTTGTTCTCCAGGTTCCCCTCATTGTTGTTGCTGTTGTAGCTGTTGGCTGCCATGAGTTACAGATACATAAATAATAATAACAATATGCCCCATTGATTGGACTTGGACGGCATGAAACGAGTTTTTGTACAAATGGAAAATCGCAAAACGTTTTTTCTGCTGCTTAATCAATATGTATTTACTAATGTTGTTGTTGTTTTGGTTTTTGTTGCTGTTGCTCTTGTTGGCTTGTGTATTTATGCATGCAAATGCATTTCTTGGCGCTTTTCAACGACTCTTTAATTGGCTGACATGTTGTGATTTTGGGTTGTCAAGTTTTGCCTCCGCAAATGCAATTTTCAGCCGGCAACTGGCAATTATCGATGCCAATTTGTGTTACGAACGCTTCGCTGGTTATATAAAGTCATTAGAGACTTAAGGCTAAATAAATGCCGATCAAGTGGAATATAATAAGAATATCAAGGCTACAAGCCAAAAAAAGGTTTACGCTGGTTTGGTTGAGGGTTCAAATCCGCGCGTTGGTTCAAATCTTTTTTAATACGTGGTTTATTCTTTAACCAACTAATCCGGTTTAAGGATCGGTTCATGGCTAGTATAAAATTGGAATTCCGTGCATGAAACCGGTTCGATTCCAAACTGGTTTGCAGCCTTTAAAAATAAACTGTGTTTAAGTTTTCAGTTAATTGTTTATTAATGCCAAAGCTGAAACAAAAGCGAAAGAGGGGTGGGTCTGGGCCTGCCAACTAGTTGCAATTAGCCAGTTCTGCCAACTGGCTGCAATCAGCTATGAACCGAGTCGGGCGACGACGACAGGTCTTCGATGGGTATTAATAAAAGTTTATGGAAATTATAGAAATTGTTAATTGATTTTAGCCAAGCAAAAGAGCCGCACGACGCATACCGCTGACTGAGATTGATTCAAACACCGCGACCCACTGGACCCCATGCACCTGATACTCTGGCAGCAGTTTGTGGCTGCAGTCAATAAATTCGATGATGCCTCAGCCCAGCAATAATTTCGTCGTGAGTTTCCCCGCCAAGAGGTCAGCAAAGCCGGTTGGTGGCGGGGCAGGGCTGGGGAGTGTTGGGGTGTTAAAGAAAAATCGGTGTGCGCGCCATTGACATGATGAAATATCGCTCAACAATTTTTCGTCTCACAATTTTGTTGTGCAGAGAGCACAGTGTATCTATAGAATGCACAGTCTCTAGCACCAGGCAGCATTAGGCGTAACAATTTTTCATGAAATTTGGGAAATTTAAATATAAACGGAGCGAGAGGTGCGAGATTCATATCAACAGTATCTCGGCCTGTATCTGTGCTCCGCTCCAGCCGTATCTGTATCTGTATCTGTATCTGTATCTGCATTAGGTATTCGGTATTATGAGTTATTGTGGGAGTCTGTCGGCATTAGCCGCGGGTGCCGGCTGTCCGTGTCCGGGGAGCTCGTTCTGCTCGGGGTGGGACAGGCGGCATACGTTTGTTTACAATTTCACGCGCTGCGATTTTCGCGGTCGAGTTTTCACGCAGCGCCGCAAGAAAAATGGGCAAGTGTTAGTGTGAGGGAAATCTTTTGTTATTGTTTATGTATTTTGACAAGCTGCCCCGCGCGCTCAGTTTGCCAGACAATTTGGTGCTGGAGATACTCCGAGTAGCCCCTGCTGCCCCCCGCTTCCAGTCATGTGACTCGCTTACAAAACGCATGCGAATGAGTGCGGCAAGGCGGGCGCAGGTACTCGTAATTGTTCAAACACACTCATTTGAATGAGTTATTAAGTCAAGTAACTCAGCAATTATTTAAGTTTTGCTCTTCGATCTGTCAACAGTCAGTCAGCGGAAATTTAAATATAATATTCAGTTCAAGCCAAGTCAAGCGCTCGTGTTTGTAAGATTTCAATTTGTAATCCTGTTTGGTTAATATATGCACAAATATGTTATGAATATAAAAAGGGAAGTACACACTGGAATTGAGGAAAAAAATATTCAAAAAATCTAAAAACAAATGAATCGAAACAAAAATCTGACTTAAAATGTTGCATTGTAATAAACTTTTAAGAGTCTGTCCATAGATCTAAACATTAATAATCCTTTATATCAGTGTGACCAAATCAAAAAATTAAAAAAAAAAAATGATTAAAATTGTGATTATATATATATATATATACATATATAGATGTATACATAAATATACTTAATAAATAAATAATTTAGCCAATCGCTTTAAGCCTTTCGGTTATAACAACATAGAGAATTTTCCATTTACATTTATTATCCTTAAAATCATGGTCACACTGATATGTATATGAAACTTAATAAAATCTACCAGACCAATTATTGTGAAAAATGTTTTTCAAAAAATCCATTAAAAAACAAAACTTTCAACAAAAAAAATTAAATGCTTGTGTTTTATATTATGTTGAAAGTAAAAATTTTAAAAATAAATATTTAATTTAAATCAATTTCTTTGACTTACTCTGTCCGAGATGTACTCGCTTCATCCATGGATAGATCTGTGGCGGATTTTTCTTGCCGTTGCCGCTGTTCTGACTGCTGCCCGCCTCGTTGCCGCTGTCGCTCTCCGAGTCCGAGTCGCCGCCGCCCGGACTGTGCATGGGCACGTTCACGTTCACATTGACGGGTCCGGGGCCACCGCCACCGCCGCCGCCCCCACCACCGCCGCTGCCACCGCTGTGGTTGTTGTTAAGACTCACGGCGGCGGCGGCGGCGGCCAAGCTGCCGCCGAGCACGCCTTTGTTGAGGGAACGGGCTACGCTCTCCACCACGGAGCTGGGCGATAGCTTCGGTGAGATGTCGCGCGTGGAGAGATCCTGCGGACTGGCCAGCGACTGGTTGTTGTTGTTGCTGTTGGCGCTGTTGTTATTGTTGTTGTTGTTGTTGCTGCCAACAGGCGTCGACGGATCGTTGGCGTATTTACAGCTAATGCTCGCCTGTTGTTGCTGTTGTTGTTGCGGGAGTTGTTGCTGCTGTTGCGGCAACTGTTGCTGTTGCTGCTGCTGTTGCTGTTGCTGGGCGACAACGGCGGCCGTCGCATGTGCGTGCTGCTGCTGCTGTTGCTGCTGCTGCAACAGCAATCGTTGCGGCTGCAGCTGTGTATAGTCCACCATATCGGGATTGGCCTGTCCACCGCCCGGCGCCCCGCCTCCGCCGCCCAGGCCATAGGCCGCCTGGTTCGCATAGTGGGCCTGCGGTGTGTTCGGATACAAGTTGGGCGTGTATGCGGCCGCCGCTGGGAAGTAGTCGTTGCCGCTCGGCGTCGCCGCGCCCGAGTTGCCCTGCCCGCCGTTCGCGCCGCCCGCGCCACCGCTGTTGCCAGTGCTGCCATTGGCGCCCGGATGACTCTGCTGCGGGTTCATCTGCTGCGGATAGCAGGAGGCCAGCGAGTTGACAAACTGGTACGAGGACATGGCAAAGCAGTCGGGATCCATTTTGTGGCCGCTACGCTAAGATTTCTATCTGAAATGAAATGCAGTCGTTAGAGCAACAGTTTCAGTGCCAACTCGAGCTCAGGGGCGGCCAGATGCACACTACAGATTGCAAATGGCTTTAGGTGTAGTCTACTAATCCCCGCCCAATGCAGATCCCACTTCCCGATTAACTCTGCTGCTCAAAGAGCTTCTGTGCCCTCGCAATATTTGCATTAGTTGCAGATAAGTGTAGAATTAAGACCTAGCATAAACTTAAAATAATCTTACTCTGCATTTAATAACAAAGTGTGTATTTCTTGCAGGCACCGTGGTTCAATGTGTATTTTCGGAAAACAAAACGTGAGCTCAATCGATATTCAGCTTTGTATAGATTTTCTTAATAGTCTCTTTTTAAAATTAAATTAACTAATTATAGAAATAAATTCATTAAAATTTGTATTTAAAATATAAAAGTAGTCCAAAAACTAATTTCTTAGCTTTTTATTTGAAATAAAGACTTGTATTCGAAAATTGTTACCTTAATTATAGATTGTAATAAGTATTCTGCTTTGGGCTCGTAATTTCAATGGAGCTGCTATTTCCTACTGAGCATCATTATTACAATTATTTTCGAAGCGGCTAAGAACCCAATTTCCCTTGGCCAAAACAACTGGGTGCTGCCCGCTTCCGGAGTGGGGGAGTCGCGGGGCGAAACTGTTTGGATTTCACTTGAGCTGATGGGCAGGCGCGGATATGCCTAAGCATTGGCATTACGTGCATGCAATTTTGGTGTGGCACAGCTCGGCCCAGGCCAGGAATGCCTGACCCGCCCACTCTCGTTGCTTGGACACTTGCGCGAACTTGCGGCTGCACTTGTGTCCGAGCCTGGGCGCAAACAAAGACCCGCTCCGAGTTGGACACCATCGCTGATACAGCGGACTGGCCGGTCTGGCTGGCTGGCTGGCTGACTGGCTGACTGGCAGAGTGTTTGTTTGAATGGAGAAAAACTTGTATTTCGGCCCGCTGCAGCGGAGATAGCCACAAAAGCGGCCGCGATTGCAACGTTTTGTTTGGGCCAAAAATCGAAACAACAGCTTGGCCCAAAATAGCCCCAAAGCCGAAAAGTGCAAAACGCAATGGCAAAGACCAGGCCAAGTGTTGGACCAGGCCAGCAGCAGGCAGCGAGGAAGCCAATGCCAATGCACGGAGCACATGAACATGGCCGAAAAAGAGAAGAGGAAGAAGATACCATTGCCCAAAAACAATGCAACGACCTTTGCAAGCTAATATTTTGCTCTCTTGAGTCTCTTCTTCTTCTTGTTATTCTCTACTCTGCTTCTTCTTCTTCTTCTGCTGCTTCTCCTTCATGTTGGGCGCTTCGTATGAAACCAATAATTTTGATTCAGTGGGCAATTTAACCCTTTAGCATGTTGTCCAAATGAAAGGAGTTGAAGCTTTAAATTAAATCGCCGTACGGGCCTCGACTTGAGCTCTGGCCCAGGCCCTATACCTGTCCCAGGCCTGGCCCGGCCTGGCCTGGCTTGGCCTGGCGGGTTCTCAGATAAAACTGGCCACAACTGGGCAACCGGTGGCCTGGGCCAATGCTCGACAGAGATTTATTTGATGAGCAGCGTTCCCGAAAACGTTGTAAATTCGCATTCGGCCCTGGGTATTTGACGATTATGGAGTTTAAAGCAATTGTAACGGCATTTCGCTTAAGTTTCGATTTTCGATTAGGCCACGGGCAGCAGCACAAGCTGTTTAGCCCAACGACATACAAACAATTTGATTATCCAAATTATATGCTTAGATAAGCAACTGCTTTGACCCTACGACTTGTAGACATTGCTCCAAGGAATGGGGCTAAAGATCAAATCGAACCAAGAACTGGAAGGCAACATATTAAATGTTATGAAATCGAAGGCATCAAAATAGGAATTACATGAGTAATCTTTAAGAAATTAAATGGAAATATTGTAAGTGAGAAAGTGAGGACTTAGTTACAATTTATCAACCTTACTTTTTCTGCAAATCTGCTTGCTGAGACCTTCATCATATTTTATCACAAGCTACCTAAATAATCAATCTGAAATGATCTTCGATTAGGCTGCGAAATATCGAACCTCTTCTATTAGCAATATAATGGATAATGGAAGTTCCATCTTTAATCTACAATTAATTGAATGCGTGTTGACCCAACTGGCGGCGCCGGTTGTTTATTTTTTTCGATCACTTAACGGCAAATTAAAAATTCCGAATAAATAAAGGCCATAAATTATACGAGTTTGGAAATTATTTTCCAAAGACTCGAGCGACAAGCGGTTCAATTGGTGTTAATTAAATCCATGAATAATGAAAACGCAAACCGAATTTGCGGGTTCTCTCCGCGCTTTCCAAAAATAAAAAAAAATATCATACATATGGATATGTACTGTATATAGAGAGTGGATACATTGATTGGCGCTGGTCTGGCTCATTCGTCGGTCGCTGGGCTGATTGTCGCCTCATAAGAAAGCCATAAATTATGGCAATTCTTTCGGGCAGCGACATTTTTGAGACGAGGGAGCGAACAAGCCCGGCCAAACTGAGCGACTTTCCTTTGTCTCGGCGTCTGCATGACGGTTGGGCATTTTCCTTTATGCCCATGCCCTGCCCCGGGGCCACCTTTGTATAAACATTTTTAATATGCCTACGAAACGGGAGTGAAATTCTTGTACGGATACTTAAACCGCAGAACGAATTTCCCTTTCCAAATGTTGGCCCGACATCGGCACAGGTAAATGCTGCTGCATTCATGAAGAAGAAGAAGAAGAAGAAGAAGAAGCGGAAGGTACGAGTAAATAAACAGCAATTGAGTTGCACATGCGCAGCTCTAGAGGTTCCCCCAGATCGACTCTATGTCACCATAAATCAATTTGTGCCCAATGCGACAGCTGAAAAGGGTTTCTTCTTTTGGGAACTATTCGTGAAAACTCCAGGACAATGGCAGACGTTTTGAGGTGCCGATCTTATGATCGGGGGTTGTCCATTGTAATTAAGATGATTAACTTTTGCATAATCGATGTTAAATATAGAAAGGAGAGATATAAAAAGATACTGTTAACATTTTTATATACGCATATTTATTTTTTGTGAATAGAGCATTTTCTTCTTTAGTTTTGGGATTTATTAAACTTGATTGACGTTTGCTTAATCGACCTATCCATATTTACTCATCTAGGCAAGGAATGAATTAAAATAAATCAATTTGAGTTTTTATAAGAATGCACTATCTGAAGTTTGATCATTTATCAATCAAATCTAACAATCATATCTTATCTCTAGTTTAGGCAAATGATTTGTTGTATCTAAAATATACTATTCTAGCTATTTAACTATTGTCTTAGAGTACTTTTTTTCATATATTTATATTGGAAAAAAGTGTATTTAATTTCACGCTAATATTCACCTGAAGTGAAGGAATTTATGGAATAAATCGTACTATCTAAAATATACTATTTCAACTATTCCAACTATATATAGAGTATGTTTTGCATTTTTTTCTTATATATTGTAAAAAAAAAGTATAATGTAAGCTGTCAAAACCAGTCTGTTGCGTACTTCATCTTTCTTTTGAATCTAACACAGTTCGTACACGCCACTCTATATGAATTATTAGATTGTCATCCATTTCTAGGCACTTTGCAGGCGTTGGCAAGTACATCATCATCATCGTCATCATCCCGGCCAGGCCATATCCCAGCCATCTCTTAATTATGAAACGAACAAAACCCTAAGCAGTTATTTCTTTTACAAATGTCGCCCGTTGTCGTCGCCCAACGTCGTCACCATTACAGATTTCGAGCGCGCCTTGTTTGGTTGTTGTTTGTGGGCCGGGGTACTCTGGTACCCGGCCGGGCCTGGTCTGGTCATAAATCATAATTTTTAATATTTGTTGTCAACATGGGCGTAGCTCGTGTATATGTAAACATGCCGCTTCTAAAAACTGCCACAGGCCAGCGCTCGAGCAGGGACCCAAGAGACGGGACGAGACGAGGCGAGACGGGACGAGGTCGCAGTCGCAGTCGCACAATTCTAAAAGGTATTTGCGCACGCGCAGTCACACTCATTGGCATGCCTCGAACTCAGTCTGCCTCTCTCTCTCTGTCTCTCTTTCATTCGTTCTCAATGGCCCAGCAATAACAATGAGCCAAAAAGGAACGACAAACGCACACGAATGCAAGTGGGCCCATTAAAAACTCATAAAAATTTGTAAGCACCTCATAAAAGTAGTCATAAATATTATTATTTGTTTTTTCTCGCTCACTTCTATCCATCTCTTTTTCTCTCAGTCAGACATGTTCTGTTGTTGTTTTTGTTATTGTTATTGTAACAGTTTCTCGCCTCAACCCTCGTCTGTGTTTTGTTTTGCGGTTGCGGCTCTCATAATTTTTATGAGTTGTTTTTGATTTGTTTTTCGAGCTGTCTCGATCCTCGCTGCAAGCGGCCATTGTTGACCTTTTGACACGTACTCAAAAGTGCTGGTCGCCTCCCATGTTTGCGGTTTGCCTTTTGTGTCCTTGCACTCAACGTTTTACACATCATTTACGATCGGTTATGTAATTGTTGTATCTTAAACAAAACATTGACCTCTATCCGAGAGCCAAGGACAACCCAATTGTGCAACGTGGTTTGGCTACTGTTTATAACTTATTGGAACTAGGTGATCAGGATTGTACAATAATAGTGAGAGTTTTTAGAAGAGGAAAACAAATGGCCAGCACTTAAATTAATCTCGTACATTATTTCAAAAGCTTTTATAGTAAAAGCGAGATATGAAAGCTCATTAAAGCTTCTAATTATATTGCTCGCTGTCATTTAATCTCAATGCAAGCTTAAAACTCAACAATTAGGCTTATATATGACCCTTTCGGCTCTCACTATAACTAATCCTTATGATTACTAAAGCTTCAGCAATATTCTTAAGCTTTTATTTATGAATGATATATTATGCAGATCATACACTTTTGTCGGGAATAAAAGATGAGTGGCGTGCAATTGAAGAGTGGAAACTATCAATATTCAAGAGGTATTTAAATCCTAAAACAATACATACTTTTTTTTCCCTTTTAGAGGGTACTAACTTTTGTCGTTAAATGTTTAACGTATAGTAGGAGACATTTCCGACCCTAGAAAGTATATATATCTACTAGTCCAGTTTCAACCGCCAAATATAGTCTTGTCCGTCTGTCTCTTTCCACGCAGACTAGTCTCCCATGAAGCTTTATTGGCCTGTCTTTATGTCTCTTTCTAGGCGGAACGTATGTGGGAACCGGCTTGATCGGAACATCTTATCATATGGCCGAAATAGGAAATATCAGTTTTTGTTTACCTTTCTGTTTTTAAGGAAATCTTCAACAAACTCTAGATTTATCTGCAAAGCCGTGTCAACAAGGGTATTTAATCTGCGTTCCTTTCATTCGTGTTTTATTTTTGAACTGGAGCTTATCTTTACAAATCATTATATATATCTAGGTTCGCTAGCCAGCTAATCTAATCTAGGTAAATCTTAGTTTTCCTTTTCAAGTGTTGCTTGATATTAAACTATTGCTTTCAGAACTTCAACATTTCATATTAGATAAACAAATTTCATCGCTTTGAGAATACATAAAAAGAAGAAGAAGTAAATCACAAATTTGTTATCAAGGTGCACGGCATAGAAATCAGCCAGGATGAAAAGTTGGCGTCTCCTTCTGCCGTTTGCCGGAGTCGTCGAAAATAAATGTGTCCCGGCACTTATTGTACCTACACATCCAAATACAAAGTTGAGCAAATGGCTGCCGTCGCCCCAATAGATCAACGACTCCCCAACAACAGCAACAACTATGCAGGCATTGTTGTTGCTGTTGTTGTTGTTGTTTTGGCTGTTGTCGCGGCAAAGTTTGCGTGTTTCATACATTTATTTTTTGTCGGTATTTTGATTTATAAATATAAATAGGTAAAGCTGAAATATCATCATGACATTTTAGCCCGCTGTTGGGTCTTGGCCCAGTCCCAGTCCCAGTCGCCGACCAGTACCGTGATGAATGTGGGCTCCAGGCGCAGGCCAAATGCGAATGATGATGGCATAAATTCAAGCGCTGACAAGCCAAACAAAAACTGCAGACAAATTCAGACTTGGACCTGGACCCAGTGTGTGTGTGTGTGTGTGAGTGTGAGTGTGTGCACAACTAGGCAGCCAATTAGCTCGCCGGGCAGCAGCAGCAGAAGCAGCAGCAGGCTTTGTGTTGTGTCCACATTATGCAACAGCCCATTGAGGGCACTTTGATCTGGCTCGACCACCCTCTGGGAGAGGGCATGCAAATGAAAGTGACCTACATCAAGTGGCAATACGATTCACCCATTCTCACTGGCCAGCTACCATGTGTGAGGGATCAGGGCAGGGATCGGAGCGATTAAAAGAAGTGCACATGCAGCGAAATTGGGCTAGGCGCACCATGGGCGCCCGGTGGGCACCCTCGATGGGCCTCTGTTAGCGTTCCATATCAATGCGTCTAGTAAGAGGAAGACGTGTTCTTGGGCGCAGCTCAGAGTCACATTTTAACATAATTCGAGTTTCGGTCTGGTCAGCATGACTTCCCGGCCATGTGATGGCTGGGCACGCAATTCCTATGTACAACGGCTGTGGTTTCCCAAAAACTATTTACATTTCAGATACATACGTCTATATACATCATGTTTTATATAGCTAAATATATATATATATATATGTATATGTGTTAGGCATAGTAGGTAGTTTGTGGCTGCTTGTTAGGCATTTTTCATTCGCTGTGACATTTCGCCTTTGTGGCTCTTAATTATTTCAAAAACGGCTGCATTCGTTTTAATGAAGTGAAAATTCTTTGCGTTGATATCGCGCACGCAACCCAAAACAAAAATGGAACAGAACAACAGCAAATTGGATAAGCCCAAGAACTGAGGAGTTCTGTTTGGGCTTCCAGCATAATTTAATTGAAGGTTGCCACTGTATGCCATTTAATATATCAATTCGATTTGAAGATTCAATTCAGTTCGTATAAGAACGCGATATTAACAAATATTTTCACTAGTTCTAATTGTTCGAAGATAATTGATTACAAGATGCGACTCGATTCGATAGTAAGGCACAGCTAAATGCTGCTATTCATTTATAAATTTTCTTGTATCAAATATATCATTTAAATATGACTGCTAAGGAAAGCTATAAGCTGTAAAATTTCTAATTCAAAAGAATATTCAGCAAAATATAAATTTAGAATAACAGAAGAAATGACTGTCGCACAAAATAAAGATATTTGTCAAATTATGTGATTCTTTTTTTTTCTGAAGAAGAAAAAGTTGATTCTAATAAAATATTTAATTTATGAAGAGTCTATATATAGTTTTGTTGTTAACAAATAAACTTTACATTAGGAATAGATAGAATACATTCGATATTTTAATTCGCATACTTTTGCACCTTTCTATATTGTAATAAATAATATTTTACTTTTTACATTCAACTAGCAAATTTTAAACGACAGTCATTAAAAGTAGTCGAAAACCACTAAGGTAAAAAATATGCATTCCTTCTTTTAATTCGAAGAACTATGCACAAATCAAATATATACACATTATATTTTTTAATATTTTTTCAAGTCTCATTTTATTTTAAGTGTTCAATATCTGTAAAAATAAGCGTCTACCTCTCAAAGAATTGTTAGAGTTTGATCATATTTTTGCTTAAAAAATCAATATATAATCTTTGAGTTCTGCTTCAGCTATCAATTAAAATATTTTATATTTATTGTTAAACTGTTTTTTATGAAAGACCTTAGGCAGATTTTTTAGTGATAGCTCTGGGCAAATCTACTACTATACACATATTTCAAAAATAATAAAACTGCCTGATACAAATTATAAAGTATTCATATTCAAACCCTTGGAAGTGAATTTTACCTTTGCTTTCTTAAGAATTTAGAATCAATTTTAGTCTCATAAAGTGCATTCACTTCAATAATTTTTAGCCGACGGCGTTTGGCATTTAGTGTGGAAAAAGTGTTAGCAATTTTTATTTTTATGTTATTCACATCACAAATTGAGAAAAACTGTTAACAATTTTTGTGATTTACTGCAGTTGAGGGCGGAAACAGTTCCGTGTTCGATCACTTTTGGCCTTTAGCTAATTGCCAAATACCGATTAAGCCCGCATCGTTTCAGGTTAATCCGTTTGCATACCGAGGTTTAGCGGGGTTTTAATTTACCTGCTGTTAGTTTTGTGAGTTTATTTTTGCACTTGTTTGGTTTGGCGGATTTTAAAACCGTAATTAGCCGCAGCGGGCAGGCACGTAATTTGTCACAGTTCTAGTTGGGCTGCGGCTGGTTGAAGAGCGTAGTTGAATCTCATTAAGATGCGCCGATTCGCAGTGTATCTGCGAGTAGTTCACGCCGAATTTATGGTATCCATCAGCGCGAATGTATTTTAAACGTCATCGATGAAAACACTGGCACTGAAAACACTTAGCTGCCCATCCATCTTCCGTTATTATCGCTCAAAGTCAGCGCTGCGCGTCGTGCAATGTATCTGTATCTGCGACTGTTGTTGTATCCAACGGATGCGCGTCTCTGTTATCGTATTATGCTAGGCAGAGAGCCGCACAATTCGCGGAGCGAGCGAATGCTTTGACGGATTGACGGATTGTTTAGCCACGGCCAAAAGTTTTCGGTTTCTGTTTCTGTTTCTATTTCGATGAATGTATCCGCGAATACGTGCTCGAAGCGCCAATGTCTCACTTTGACTGCTCGGGCATAATTCAAATATCTGAGCATCAATAAAAAACTCATGCAACGCGCAGCGCCAGCGCCGCCAATTGTAGCTGCGAGTACGAGCAAGTAGAGGCGCACACAATCACACACACACACACACACACACACAGTTACTGCTATGCCATGGCTGTGGCAAACACACATTCATTCGAGTGCATTCATTAAACAGTCGCGTAAAAAAAAATTCGACTGCTAGAGCAGTCAGACAGCATTAAATGCGGTTGCTGCTGTCTCATTCGCACACATTGCTGCTGCTCTGCTGTTGTTACCTTTGCGGACGCAGAAATGTGTAGCCGCAAACAAGAGTGAGAGCGCGCGTGTGTGTGTGAGTTCGAAAGAGAGCCGGTTCGAATTTATTAACGCTCTTCGAGTGCGAAAGCATTCTATTTCGACTTCGCTCACGAACATTCTTATTGATCTCACGTACACTGTACGTGTGTCTCACGTACAAGAAGGGATCGCTTGAATATTCGAACTTCGAATTCGGCAACAAGGCTAGTGTGTGTGTGTGTGTGTGTAGCCGAAAAAGTTTGATAACAGCCGAGAAAGTTAAAGTTCATTTCAACTTTAAGTAGCCAAACAAAGCTATGTATTTTAAAGGTGCTAAAGGACAATTTGAATCATTTCTCAGGGCTTTTTGAGAAACAAACATAAACAGGTCAGCTCATTCAGATTCGCAGAATAAACTGTTTGTTTATTGTTTTTGTTAATATTTTTCCAAAGAATTTTATTGAGTAACGCCCCCGCATTTATGTACCTTATTCTTGATGAATTTCAGAATTCGTATTCTATTTAGCCAATCTATTGCTGCAGTTGCTATTGTTTTCCCCATACCAGTTGTTATATATTGGGACAGTTGCTTACCTATTAGTTGATAGTTTTGAAATCCAATCGGTAGTTTTGTTGCTTCGAGAACTTAACTTTATTAAGCACTTCACTTAATGTATGTATTGTATTTTCTTTTTTTGTAGTACACTCAAAAATATTTATGTATTGAATACATTAAAACACTTGACTTCTTTAGTCTACGCAATTGTCGTGACATTCTCCAATTTTATTGGCATTTTTAAAGATTATTACAACTTTTCACTTGTATAAGAACTATGGAAATTCCAAAATTAGGATTTCTGATATTGCATATATCCTCAGGCCTGAGTTCCTTTTAGTTATCCCTTAGATTCACTGTGATTTAAGCGAAATATTCCATTGAAAGCATAAGTTGTGTGCAATTTTGCCGTCGCCTATAAAAGCTACGTGGGGCTGACAGTCAATCACCAACCCAGTTGGACGTGTAGTACTTCGCGACTAATAATACGACTATTTCCAGTGTGTAAATGAAAGTTTGATTAAATTTAACCGGGTACCGAGCGCGCAGCTGGCGTACTTGAGTGCGCCACGTTCGATTCACGTTTGACAGAGCCTTGCGGTGTATGCCGGAGTGGAGTCCGAGTCCCAGTGAGCGTGCGACTGTATGAGTATTCGAAAACTGTAAATCATTTAGCTTGCGCACGGCGAGTGCGAGCGAGCTGCACACAGTGTGCGCATGTTCGAAAATCAGTCGCGCTCGCTCGCACTCAGCTAAGCCACGCCTCTCGCTTTGATTTATGCTACAGGGGTGCCGCATGGCCTGGACCAACGGCCTATGGCGGAGCAGCGACGACGGCGGCTCCACGCCAGCCACAGCTGGCAAACAGAAACGGCACAGAAACAGGTAGTTGGACGCTGGACGAGGCAGATGATTGCCTGCCACTCAACGTCAACGTCAACGTTAACGTCAGCTACCCCGCGCGCGCCCCTTCAACTCGACCGCTCTCTTTGAGCTCGGCAGCAGCTTTGTTGTTTTTTGCTCCAGATTAGGCTGAAATCATCCTAGATTAGTGCGTCCCGCTACCCCAAAAGTGGCCATCCCTATGCCCTGCATTAGCGCCCAGCTCCTCCTCCGCGTCCAGGCACTTTATTTGTATTCAATCGTGGCGCTGTTCCGCTAAATCACCGTCACATTATTATTTCGCATTATTATTTTATAAACGTTTCGTTCTGTGCGCCATCATTTCCATTTTTATTGGCTGCGTTCAAAATTTTACAGCGCTCCTCTGCAAACAAAAAGTTTCAGAAAAAAAAAACTAAAAAAAAAAACAAGCGACAAATGAGTTTTTTATTTTTTACCTTGCTCAAAGTTTTGGTTTGTTTGCATCTCTTTAAAATGAGCTCGTTTGCACTCGAGTTTTGAATCTGATTTGGAATCGGAATTTAAATTTATTGGCCACATTGTCTGGCGACGTCTTGGGGTTCTTATGATTCATTCGGTTTCGGGTTACGAGCTTTTGGGCTGGGTCTGGCTCTGGCATCGAGTTTGGTTAAATGCCTTAATTAAAAATCAATTTCGGACCTGCTACCAAATTCCAAGCGAGCAGAACAAGAAATACACAAACGAGTATATATTTATTTTTTGTGAGTGATTTGCATTTGAATCCGTTAAGATAAATTGTTAATGTCAAGTGAAAAACTTAATACTTCCATATGCAAGTTTATTCAAGAAACTTTCTGACATAACTCTAATTATGACCATATTCTATTCGTTATTAATTAACATATTTTCAAAATGGGTATATTCAATGTTTTCGTTAATAAATTCCAAGAAATATGCAACTATTGTTTGTGTAGATGAATCTAAAAAAGTTTAAGCAATATTTTGTCGAAATTATATTTTAATTAATTTGTCTAAAAATTAATTACCTGAAAATATGCCTAGATACATGTATTTTATGATTTTCAAGAATTATTGTGTAAGTTTTTTAGGCAATTTCATACACACCGAAAAAAGTATTTCTGTAAATTGCTCAATCTTGGCTATGATTGATTTTTTACCTAAAATAATGATGTTGCAATCTTTAAAACAAAAAATTGTTGTCTATGTCTATATACACAAGAAATTGTATATGACTTGAAAAGGACATGTTTTTTTAGACCCAGCTTAAAACATGCTGTGAGAAACATTGATGTTTGACAAAATTGTTTATTCAAAATAGTAAATTTATTAAAAATATATTAATAGACGCACAAAATAAGATTCTTTAAAGTAAAAGCGCACTTGTATAAATAAATTGATTTTTCGTAAAATGTATTGCATAATATTCACATTTCATTGTGATTACCAACATTTATGAGTTGAATCGAAATTCCCCTTGTGTTGATATTTATCAATTTCCAAACTTGTTGTAAACATTTTTTACATGTATCTGCATTCATTGGCTGCGTTGTCATTGCCTGCACTTGGTTTCCAGATGGTTAACAATTCCATAACGACATGCAACCGTTTCGTTTGGTTTTCTACTCTTCTTTTCTAGCCCGCACGACATGAGGGAAACCATATTAAAAATGTAAAAAAAGGAGAAGAAAACTAGGAATCATAAAAGAGACGCCTGCGTGTACTTCTGTAATTGGAGTTGATGTCGGAGCTGCCAGCGGGCAGTAAAAATGTTCAGCCTGAGATGGGAGCCGCATAGCCGCATAGCCTCTGCCTCAGCCCCAGCCTCTGCCTCAGCGTCAGCCTTACGGGCCGGCAGCTCAGCCCAGCAGCATCCAACATGTTGCTGGCGATTTTTCATCATCGCTCGCATGTTGTTAATATTTTTGTTGTTGTTGTTGCTGCTGCTGCTGCTGTTACACACACGCTTTTAATATGAAACAATCAGCAGCGTTTGTAGTTTTGTTTTTGGCTGCTGCACAGCAACAAAAAAGTAGAGGAATTTTCAAATTAAATGTGGGCATAGAACTTGTGCAACTGTGCTACATGCAACATGCAACTGTGCAACACGCTTCAACGGAACTGCAGCAGTTTTCAATTAAATACAGTGCCATCGACCCAAGAAAAATGTTCAATACCAATGCCACAAGAGTGCCACAAGCGGGGCGTGGCGTGGCGTGGTGGGTTGGGGCGGGCGGGGGTTTCAACTCACGACAATTCGTTAATACCCTGCCATTTGAGTTCTTCACGCAGTGCAGCTAAAAACCAGCTTAGTGAATGGTCAGCAGGCTGCAGAGGGTAGGGAGCTGAAGGGGAGGAGGGGGGAGTTGTAGCTGCTTCTGGCAGTTGATAAATAAGCGCCATTTAAGACAAACACACGCACAGCGCAAAAGTTGCAGCTACTTAGAGAGCCAACGATGATAACTGCAAAAAGACAAATCTGGAGCACATACTCCAAGGAGGAGCTGCCTCAGCCGCTGCTGCTGCTACTGCTGTGCTGCTGCTGCATTGAGGAATGCATTTACATCAAAAGGCAATTTAAATTAATTTCCGACCTTTTTGTCGCAGTCAGAGTCGGAGTCGGAGTCGCAGTCAGTGTCAGTGTCACTGCCTGCGCCACAGAGTCCATCCACATTTGATTATGATAAACGCGTCTCAGCTGTCAGGCGATGAGCTACTTAGCCGCCAAGATGGCGCTCCACGAGCTGGAGTTGTAGCTAAAATTGGGAGGCCATTAGGCGTGCTCGTTGCTGTTGTTGTTGTTTTTGTGGCTGCTGCTTCGGCAGGGACAACAGCTGAGCTAAAGCGACACGCGAGCTACTGAATCCATCATTAGAGACATTCAAAAATTATTACGGCTGTGACGCCATTTTGATTTGCTTTCCACACATATCCCTATGCCATTATGTACACACTATATAGACAGCGTGTGGCCAGCCAGATAACGAAGCTTTCGCTGCGGAAAGCTCTGCTGCTATTTGCCTCTCGCTTTGGCTGCTGCCCATAGGACGGCGACTGTTGCGCATGTCCTGGGCCACAAGCTGCGTACTTATCCGTATGATTAATTTGCCAATGGGTGGGGCAGTGGGGAGGGCGGCAAAATGGAAAGTGGCTCCACCTACAAGCTGCAGCAAAAAGGACACTTTAAGGCTTTAAATTCTATAGCAAAAAGCAGGACTGTAAAAGGCAGATTTAAAATGGCGCCGC